CAGGACTGGCCTAGGGACATTTTAAATTGGTTTCTAATTAATTTTAAAATAAGAATAGGCCTATTGAATATATCTTTTAATTGATTTTAAATTTTGTAGATTTGTATCGATTGTTCTGTTTTTAATTGGCTGTAAGCCGCCCTGAGTCCACTAGGAGAAGGGCGGGATATAAATGCAATAAACTTGAAACTTGAAACTTTTATTTTTAAAATTATTCTTTACTTTTTTAATAACGTGAGCTGCTCAGAGTCGTTTGTGAGACTGGCAGCTATATAAGTTAATTAAATAAGTATATAAAAATCTTATCTCCTGCTTAATGGCCCTTTATTCTGTATGCTTGGTATCAAATCTTCTATGACGCAAATCTTCTATGGTATCAAATCTTCTATGATTTCTTTCTTTTCTGGAAAAAATCAGGAAACAAAGCAAGCAGATATAATATTGCAGCAAGGAACACTCTATTAACTTACACAAGACTTTAACACAATCTTCTTTCTTTTTTAACCGGTCTTTAATTTCTCCAGACACAAGTGTGGAATATGGACAAGCCAATTCTTTTAAAAAGCCACTCATTTCTAGTTGTAAACTTTCAACATCTTCACCACCTAAAAAAAAAACCAAGAGAGTATTATATATCTTCAACTCCATTACCATTTTAGGCACAATTATAAAAAAAATCCAGAGTCAGTAGTCTTTTAAGGGCTTTGAGTAAGCATCATTCTGCAACTATGTCCTTTGGACAGTAATGAATTATTTGCTTTATTTGCGATGGAATGTATTAAGGTGCAACTTGTGTATGTGTGTGATTATGTATATCCTATTAGTATGCATTAAACCTTCATCCTCTGGAAAAGTCAATCCACAAAAAATATGTAAAAAATATCAATCATGCAATCATGTTTATACTGGCTTGTGCTACAGACAAATAAATACAACTGATACAATTTAAACTTAATTTAGTTGGGCCTTTTTGTCTTTCATTAGAACAAAGAGAAAATGCTGTCATTTAAATTTATGGACCAGTTTTAAGAATACTGTGAACAGAACAAGTCACAAATTATAAACCATGGAAAGAGCTAAAAAGTTAGAAGCACACAAGGCCATTTCTAGAGAATATCAATAATAATCAACATGTAAACTGTTATAAACTGTATTTGCATAACACAGTATTCCAGTGGCAGGCAGGCATCACCTCTTTTGAAACTGATAAACATTTGGGGGAATTTACTCAACCACACTGCTGCTTAGTTTTAGCCTTTAGAACAACAAGGAAATAATCAATTGGCAATCCTTTCCTCTGTGTACTGTGTACTGTGTACTTCAAAAAATGTCTACAGACATCAGCAGCAAAGGCCATCATCCCTCTACTTGGTATCTCATTATTGGATTCACACTGCCTATTAAACCATGTTGATATTTCTTTTGAGCTAAATATAATGCAAGACTGCAGTCACATCAAATTAGTGGAATAAAATAAACCATGATTTGTTTTTAATTTATTAAATCAGTTGGAAACTGGTTTGCAGTTGACATATTTATTGCAACTATAATTTAATAAGATATAAAAATAAGAATGAATTGTTGGATTATGGGTTCCTGGCTTACTACTAATTTGCTTCTTTAACCAATTAAAGTTGCTAACTAATCTACAAATCAGTAGAAGGTAAATGCAGCAATAAAAAAGTACTCCTAGAATTGTACAAGAAAGCCATCATTATTTTGTTTGCAAGAAAAAGTGGGTTGCTCAACAATTCAGTGTCATGTTAAAGGTAAAGCTGAATGTAAAAAATCACAAAAACTTCCATTGCAATGTCACTTTAAAACATGGAAGTGAGAGTAAATGACATTATAATGGTTTAATTTCAATGTATGACTCTTTATTTCCCATACAGTATGGAACTGTATTTCCAACAGTTTCAAATAAAAATCAGGTAAGAAATACCAGCTGTTGAGGAGATGCTTTCTTCCAGATTACACAATGGCTGTATTCTGGAACTTAGCCAAACACAAAGCTCACAGAAATCTTGGGAAGCCAGCCCACATTCTGTTGCTTTATTAAGAGCATCTTCATCCAGAAGAGGACCTTTATATCTAGAGAAAAATACAAAATTCAACACATATAAATCAAATATACACACACATATGTATATTCAAATTTTCATCTTGGTATCAATAGCAAGTTTATTTTTTCTTAATACAACTTCTCATAAGAGAATGATATAAATACAAGAAACTTGAAGATGTCGCATCCTCATGCCTGTGAAAAATAAAGTCTCTCTTGATCTTGACTTGAATCCTGAAGACCAATCAATCAATCAATCAGAATAGAGGTGGAAGGGACGTTGGAGGTCTTCTAGTCCAACCCCCTGCTCAAGCAGAAGACCCTATACCATTTCAGACAAGTGGCTGTCCACACAGACCAACTGCTGGGATTTTTTTTTTTACAATATAAGAGGGCTGGGATTTCCCATCCAAGTACTAATGAGATCCAATCCCACTTAACTTTTTCAAAATCAGCAAAGTTTAAAATATAGTTGTGGTATATTTATTCATTTTAATTTATCTGTACCTTCACCCAAATCTTGACCCCTGGTGACTGGCTGGATTAGTGTCTGCAGTTTTTTTTTTGCAAGATTCTTGGAACTGGTTTGCCATTGCCTTTTTCCTAGGGCTGACAGTGTGTCTCAGATCACCATCTGGCTTTATGTTTAAAACAGGACTGGACTCACAGTCTCCCCCTTTCTAGCATAATGCCTAACCACTACTCCAAACTGGATCTCTTATGATGTATTACAAAGCACATTATTTGGAAGTTATTGAACTGAAAGCAACCTGCAATTTTCCCACTATTTATACATCCTTAGGATCAGACTGTCAACTGACAATCAATCAATCAATCAACATACAATTTTTAAAAATAATTTCCCACAAGACTCTAGTACACAGGTGTTATTCTTTTAAAATGCCCGCTTCCCCTCTATACTCTAGCAATTTAAATCACGTAGCAAAATGCAAATACTGCGTTTGAACGGATCAATTGCCACGTTCAGAGGCAATGTAAACATTAGCAATCAAGCCTGTAGCAGCCAACTACAGGAAAATTAAAACTCTGTGCATCAACGAAGAGGATGAATCGAATACAGAATATAAAAAGAAGAACCTGCATAACTACAACGCATTTTGAAAAGATTTCTCCGCCAGTCTTTTGATTCGCAGAGGCGGGGAGAGATGCTTGCATCTAACTTGGGCACGCGCACGACAAACGCCTCCAACAAAACTGCGGGAACAATCGCCTTCCCCCTCCCTCCCTCCCCGCGTGGTTTTTAAAACGAATCACGACGAGGCGATTCGATTCGATTCCTCCGGTGGGAGAACCGAGCGGGAAATCTGGAACGAGGCGAGGACTTTTCAAGCAGCCCGCTCAAGCCTGCCTTTCTGCACCGCCAGGCAGGATCCTTTATCTAGCCGCCGGATCGAAGGTGCCATCGGTGTACGGCCTCCATTCAAACGGGAACCCCACCACCCTTGCCCCGAGTTGGTGGCCCTCCTCCATCTCACCCTAAAGACTCGAGCGCATCCAAAATAACGCACTCCATGTTGGGCTCTCTACTACGCTGTCAGCGCCTTCATTCCCGCGACTGCAGCGATCTCAGTCCCGCCTCCCGGTACAAAGCGCCC